GCGCTCACCCAGAAAATCATTCTCTTGGACGATCGCACACATGTGGTTTGCCATCATTTTCCAAAAGCTCTGGGCTTCCTGGGACCTCTCCGCCCAGGTTCAGGATTCCCACTTCCTGAATCCTCTGTGCAGACTTTTGTCGGAAAGAGTCTCCCGGCTCAGAACACCCTGGGTTAAAGATTCTCTGGGGGACAGGGGTTCCGTCGGGCTCCAGAGGCAGTCAGGGACGGCTTTGCGGAGGGAAGGCTGGGGCTGGGCTCCGAGTGCTGGCTGGAGGGACGGAAGTCCAAGCCGAGTTTAGAAACAGCAGGGCACACTCAGGAGACCTCGGGAGGCCACGCTGCCAGTTGGGGGAGTGATGGGAGGGAAAGGGCCATGGAGGTGGGAGCCAGATTGTGGGGGGCCTCAAATGCCAGGTGGAGGGGGTAGCCACGTGCCTCGAAGAGAGGTAGCTGCTGCAAAATCTCAGGCTGAAGAGTAGCCTGGTGCCGAGGAGGAGAGGAGGCCCGCCTGTCACTGAGCATGCGGGTGGGGTGTTGGCGTGACCTGACCAGGTACTGCATGGGGAGGGCGGGCTCTGAGTCAGGTGTGTGAGCCAGGGTCTCTGGCCATGGGGGTGGAGGTGGGGTGGGTCCTTTTCCTTTTGCAGGAGCAAAGTTTCTGGCAGGCTGAGAACTTTCCTAAGGCTCAGGGGCAGGAGCTCGCCTTGGGATCTGTCACTCCTGCCAGTGACTTGGGATCTGGGGAGGGGGTGACGGGGACAGGGGAGGGTGGGAGAGGGGGAGTGAGCAGGGCTCAGCTTCCAAGCCAGAAAGGGCTTCAAGCTGAGTCCAGGGCAGACCTCTGAGCTCCCTGGAGGGAGATTCCTGGCAGCTTGATGTGCACCTACCCGCTGCTGACTGAGGTGCACGTGGGCACACCTCGAACAGCACACCGCCCCCGCCAGCAGTCTTGCCGAGAGCATGGAGCTTCCTCGGACGAGGGGGAGGGAGCTGGGCCTGAGGCCTGGACGGATTCACCATGCGGCAGCATAGAGGCTGCTCGCCCATGGGTGCCCACTGGGGTGCCTGGCATAACCACTGGCCTCAGTTTCTGCATCTGGAAAATGGGGCCAATATCTGTGCTGACCTCTTTCCAGGGGTGGTGCCTCTGAGGGCAGCAGGTGAGCTAGATGGGAAATGCTGTCACAGAGTTTTTAGAGTACTTCACACTTGTTTATCTTATAGCTCCTGACCTTCCTTGCTGTCTTTTGCTAGAAGAAAGAAGTCAGAAAAGACGGGGGGGGGGGGGGGGGGGGGGGTGTGGCCCATGTTAGTGTGCGGAGAGTGGGGGTGAGGAGGGAGGGTGAGGCTGCAGCTCGTCCCAGTACACAAGCATGAGTGTCACACACACACACACACAGAGCGCTGCTGGCATCTCTTTCAGCGTCACTCTGTTTCCTGTCTTGACTCTGGTGTAGGAGAGGCGCTCTCCTGGGTCCCCCACCCCCACCCCCGGAGCCGGCCCTCTCTTGGGCTGGAGTCTCAGCCGCTGCCCCACAGCCTCCCGGGGCTTCCTGTCCTCCTGGGGCTCCTGGGGTCCGGGCCCAGGCCGCCCACTGGGAGCCAAGGGCAGATCGGGTCTCCTCTCTGTGCCGCTGAAACGGGATCCCCCTTTATCGGTGGTCTGGAATGGGGGACTGGGGGCAGGATGAGAGAATGAATCAGAGGCGCTTGTTTTCATTTCATGTTTAATTTCCTGCAGGCTTAGCTCAGTCTTTCCGCTCCTTCCTCAGCCCCCCAGGGTTCTCTGAGGGGGAGGCCAGCGGGAGGGGAGAAGCCCACTGGAGGCATCTAGATATATGACTGCTTTCTTTCTTTGAGGCCGGGGAGAAGGCTAGAAAAAGGTGACGTGTCTGCCACTGGGGGGTTGCTGTTGAGTCTCTGTGGACTCGGTCCCATGGTGGGATCCAGAGGTGCTGGTGGAGGTGACACGCAGGCGTGGGCTGGGCTGGGAGGGACACGGATGGGGAAGGAGGCAGCCCAGTATCCTGCACGGGGTGGGGGGGCCTGGGGTTGAGGGGAGGAGCAGAGTGGGGGGAGACGGAGTGCGTGGTGGTGGCTGGAGGTGAGCGCGGGGGAAGAGGCGGGGGAGAGGGGAGACCTGGGTTCTCCGGGAAGATAGATGAGCCCGGGGGAGAGGCAGCTGAGAGAGCACTGTCTTGGGGAGGGAGTGGAAGAGGGTCAGGCTGAGGGATTTATTTGAGGGCTAAAGATGGAGATCGTGGGAGGCGGCACAGCTGCGTGGAGCAGGCCGATGGGAGAAGAGCTGCCCACCTCCACTCTCTCCTCCGGGTCTTTCCTCCCTGGGCCTTACCCTGCATACAAGGCTGGAGGTTTTCTGCCCAGATGAGGCTTAAGCTAAGTCAGCCTCCTGGTCCTCGGCCTCCTCACACCTCAATCGGGTGGCGGCAGGGGTATCCTCGCGGGCCCCTTCTGTGCTCACATCCAAGGGTCCTGAGACTCAGAGCATCCTTCCACTTCTGACCCTTGGGGCCTGGGGCTGTGACAGCTGCCCCCGTAGGTGCTCCGTGCCTCAGGCTCTGTGGCCCTAGGCCTGTCTCCACTGTGCAACCCCAGAAGGAAGGGGGACTGCAAGGCCCAGGACCACCCTGCTCCCAGCCCACCCCAGCCCGGGCCCGCTCAGCACAGGCCTCTCCCCGAGGAACCAACCATCTTGGCAGGGTCCTTGCTAACCGCAGCCCATGTTGGGCCAGGGCGGGGTGGCCCGGCGCAGGGAGGCCTCTGTCTTATTTTCTTCAGACACCAGCTGCGGAGACTGGAGTCCCAGACAGCAGGGAGAGGCCCCTGCAGCCCCCTGGAGCGGGGCCAAGCCCCGGGCTTCTTCCCAGGAAAGGTCCATCTCGGGGCCCCCATCACCCCCTCCCTGTCCCCACTGCCACTCTACGCCAAGCACCTGGCTTCCCACCAGCTGAGCACGGGCCCTAAACAAACTCAGCAGAGGCAAGCAGGGAGATCCATCCCCACATCCCCCATCCCTGGGGCACTGCCAGGCTCAACCCAGAGGTCTGACATACATGACAGTCCCACCCACCCTGCTGCCTTTATACAAAGAAAAGTCTCAGAACAACCTGGCATGTGTCCTGCTATGGCAAACTAGAGTAAAAGAAGCACTGGGCTGGAACTCAGGGTCCCACGTTTTATTCTCAGCACTGCCACTGAATCACCTTTCCTGAGTCACCTGATCACAGGTGATCGCTTCCTGCCTCTGGGCCTCTTCTTCCTTGATATCAAATGAGAGGACCAGGTGATCCTTTCCAGCACTAGCATTCTATACTTCTATGGCCCTTCCCTTAGATGATAAGATATGCACACATTAGAGTTTCCCTTTCTGCCTTGGCTGCCAGGAAGCTCAGGGTTGAAATTTGCGCTCAGTGGCAAATATGATCCTTAGTCTAGATCTTTGACATAAATACCTTCCCATTTCATGACTTTGTTCTTGTTCTTAGATGAGAATAATAAACCTTTAATTGTAAGCTGCCCCAGCTCCTTTTTGCAAGTAGGCATAAATGTGTGTGTGTGTTTGTGTGTGAGTGTGTGTCTGTGTGTGTGTATGCAGGGAGAGCGCTCCAGTTTAGCACTCCATTGTGGTGCCTGAAAAATGTAAAACGTACCCCAGTGTCATTTCCATGTGTTGTACTAGAAGGACCATCCTTCTTTTGATACTAAGTGAATTTTACTTCTTGGCACTCCTGTCCATTTGTTAGGGACACACACGTGCGCACACATGTGCACACATGTGTACCGCACAGAAAATGAACGGTTTGCTGCACACAAACACAGCATCTACAGGAATGCCCCATAACAGCCACCCCCTCTCCACCTACTCCTTTAGCTCCTCCCACATCCACTGGCTGAGCTGAGGCCAGATGCTGTGGCTCCTGTCCAGACTCTTGAGGCACCAGGAAGTCGCATGACTCAGGTGGGACAATGGGTGTGAGAAGGTTTCTGGAATCACAGTGAGGCCTCAGCTGCCCTGCCCTTCTTCCCCAAACACTTACTGCGAACTGGATAAACCGGGAAGCTTTTTGTTGGGAATTTACAGATAAGCGACCTGACTGTTCAGAACGCCCTCGGGTTCCTGCTGTTTCTGGATGGCTGTGTATTCACTGACAACTACCAGTGCCTTTTCACATTAGCCATTTTATTTTATTTTACTCTATTTTATTATTATTATTTTTAAGTTTTGGCTGCGCCGCATGGCATGTGGGATCTTAGTTCCGCAACCAGGGATCTAACCCGAGCCCCCTGCAGTGGAAGCGTCGAGTCTTAACCACTGGACCAGCAGGGAAGTCCCCCACATTAGCCATTTTAGATGAAAACGTGTCTGGACCGTATTACAAATGCCTCTGCCTTTTTAAACAGAGCATGGTGGAGACTGATGAACCTTTTATTGATGCCTTAGAAACACTGCTGAAGATTCTCTAGTGAACAAATGCAAGAGAAGGCGCCTTGGGGGTCTGCGAAGTAACAGGGCTTTTTGTCCTGGTGCTGAAAAGACCTGAGCAGAGCTGTGCTGAGCTGATCTGAACTGTGCTGCTTATTTTAAAAAAACTCCTCTTTGCTCTGAAGCTGTTGATTTCCACAGCCCACAGGAGGGGGAAAATAGCTATCTGCCAACACCTGGTTTGCTGTTTCTAACATGCTCTGGGTTGGAAAGGCAGGCTGAACATGACGTTTATTCTGTGTTACGCTGAAGCTGTGTCTGGGGTACTTAGAGGACTTTGATTCCTTTCTGGTTCTTTCTCTGCTGTAATTTCATGCAGGGAGGGAAGACACACCTCTGTGGTCAAAGGAGGTCAGTTGGTTCACGTATGTTTATTTTTTGCTTTTGTTGCTCTGAGTTCGGCCTTCTCTAATTGGTAGGAATACAGTGTTGAACAACAGACAGTACCTGCCCTCAAGGAGCTCATATTCCAGTGAGAGGAGACAAACAGATAAAATATTTTAAGCCGTCATAAATTCTATAAAATAGATAAAATAGGACAATGTGGTAGAAGCTGACCTGGTTTGCTTGTGTTATTTTGTGTTAATTTGGGTTGAGTTGTGTTGGGTTGGGTTGAGCTGTATTGGGTTCTATTGTGTTATGTTGGGTTGGGTTGAGCTGTGTTAGGTTTTGTTGTGTTGTGTCGGTTTTGGTGGGTTCTGTTACTGTGTTGAGCTGTGTCATGTTGTGTTGGGTTGTGTTGAGCTGTGTTGGGTTAGGTTATGTTGTGTTGTGTCGGCCTCTGTTGGGTTGCACTGAGCTCTGTTGGGCTGTGTTGGGTTGAGCTCTGTTGGTTTACGTTATGCTGTGTTGTGTTGGGCTCTGACAGGCTGTGTTGAGCTGTGTTGAGTTCTGTTGAGCTGTGTTGGTTTAGGTTATATTGTGTTGTGCTGTGCTGGGTTGTACTGTGTTGAGCTGTGTTGAGTTCTGTTGAGCTGAGCTGTGTTGCTTTGGGTTATGCTGGGTTGTGTTGAGCTGTGTTGGGTTGAGCTGTGTTGGTTTAGGTTGTGCTGTGTTGTGTTGTGTTGGGCTGTGCTGGCCTATGTTGAGCTGTGCTGGTTTAGGTTATGTTGTGTTGTGTTGTGTTGGGCTCTGCTGGCCTGTGTTGAGCTGTGTTGAGCTCTGTCGGCTTGTGCTGGGTTGAGTGTTTTGGTGGTCGGGTGATGGTGGGGGCCCCTTCTTTAGCCATGGTGGTCGGGAAGACTTCTCAGAGGAGGCATACTGAGTTGGAACCTGCAAGATGGAGGACGAGGCAGCCATCCTGGGCCAAAAGAAGATCTGGGTTGTCTCTGTTTCTGCCCACTGGGCTGCTATGGATGTATTTAAGTTCGGCCTGTTTCCTTTCTAAGAGATAGGCCTTCCAGAGCAGAGACCAGTCACCATCTCCTTCATGAAAGGGCCTGGACTCCCACACTACGTAGAACTCAGAAGTACAGCTTACAGGCTTCCTGCCCGTCCACTGGGAGCTTCGCCCCAGCTCCAACCAGAGCAAGAGGCCAGACAGCGAAGTGAGTAAAAGCCGACTTGCTCTGGTTGGAGCCGGGGCGTGAGGGGTGGGCTCCTTGCACCGGGGTGAAGAAAGCCCTGGCGTGACCGGGGACAGTCAGGCGGTCCCAGCTCCGGCCACCATCCCAAGGGCAGGCCCTGCTCTCCCGCGCCCTCCCAGGCGCCTTCACTGACCTGCACGCGGGCCTCGGTGAGGTCGGTCCTCATGGCCAGCTGCTCCCGCGCGTACACGTCGGGGTAGTGGGTCTTCTGGAAGACTTTCTCCAGCTCCTCCAGCTGGTAGCTGGTGAAGGTCGTTCGGTTCCGCCGCTTCTTGCCCTTGTTGCTCTCGGAGTCCGCCTTCTCCAGTGGGCTGGGGAGGTCGGCGCTGGCCCGGTCCTGGGGCCCCTTCACCCCAGCCTCCTTCACGCTGAGGTAGCTGCTGTCCATCCCCACGGTGTCAGAGTCGGGCGGCAACTCTGGCTCACCCAGGGAGCTCTCTTTGGCTGAGGGGGGAGGAAAGAAGGTCAAAAACCAGTGGCTGAACCAAGCATGAGAGGAGGGAGGGACCGGGGAGCCATCCCTTGCCTTTGCCCTCTCAGGGAAGTATTGGGTGCGAGGTCAGGATGCCCAGGTTCTAACCCTGGCTTGCCATTAACATGCTGTGTGACCTTGGGCGAGTCTCTGAGCCTCTCTGTCCTCATCTCAGCATGGGCTCCTTTCCACACCAATGTCCTGTGACTCTGGGTCAGCCAATCTGACCTCTATAACATTTAATCTCCACCCCACTGACCCTGGGCTCCTCCCTCTAGAAGGACTCCCTTTGCCAGCACTTCTTCGGGCGTCGAGGTTGCTGACTCAGTGCCTCGGACTCCCAGAGTGGGAAGGAAAACTCAGTCAGCAGCCATATCTGGCCCAACTGGGCTTGGAGTGAGGAGGAGAGGCCCCGCCTTTCCTGGCCTGGTCCTGTTTGGAGTTCAGCAGGGGCTCTGGAGACTCTGCCCAAGAATCCAGCGCTGAGGGGTCCTGTCCCGGCACCCTCCACACTGGTCTCACCTATTGTCCAAGTGGTGACCTGCCCCTCCAGGTGGGGGGCATGTTTACTAAGGAAGTGGGGCACCTCCCCCTGACACGCCCAGGATGCTGACACGGGGGGCCCAGCAGACTTCACAAAGCTCACGGCCCAGGCCCACAGCCACTGCTGTCTAACAGAACGGGGCTCTGCCCGCTGATTCCTGGATGCTCAGAGCTGCAAAGGACCAGTCAGCCCACAAGGGTCAAGGGTGGAGCGGGAAGTAGCTGTCCAAGTCCAAAGAGCCCAGTTAGCACCCTGGGCACACACTCGCCTCAGGGCAGGGGTCAGAGCACAGGCTCTGGAACTGGCACCAGGGGTGTGAGTCCCAGCTGGGTGCTTTGGACAGTTCACCTAACCTCTTTATGCCTCAGTTTCCCCCTCTATAAAATGGGGATGCAGAATCCTGTAGGATCTTCCTCACAGGGTAGTTGTGGGATTAAAAAGGCTGACACACAGAGCACTCGGCGTGGTCCCGGCGAGGCAGCCTTCTGCCCGTATCATTAAGTTACTCCCAGTTCTGGTCTAGACTTGTGAGCAGAAGATTCTGACCCTGGAGAAGTCCTCCAAGTGGGCAGGCCCTCCCTGGAGGCCCCAAACGCAGGAGCATGCGCGCATGCTGTGGGGAGGGTGCTGGACTGGTGTCTGGAGACAGGGGTGTGAGCACCTCTCTGAGCCAAATTCCATTGACTGTGACTCTTGTAGAGTGAAATAACATACAGGATTAATAAGACGTGTGGGGAGCATTTGACAAAACCTTTCACACGTGCAAGCTCTGATTATGACAAGGATTTGTGGTCGGTGTGAGCACCAACCACTCTGACCCTCGGTCTCCTCTTCTAGGAAGAGAGCTGAGCAGTGGGCATTAAGTCAGGACCATGCCTCTAGCCCGGGTCTCTTAACCCTGTCCGGGTCCTAGGGCCGAAGCTTCAGGTTCAGTCTCGCCCCTGGCTTTCTGTGTACACTGGGGGCTCTCTTACTGCTGGGGAAGCTGAGAGGGACGTTTTGCTCTCTGTCATTCTCACCTCCCTCTTCAAGGCGCTGAGGAAATCGGGGTGGAGGTGAATGCCCAGAGTGGGCCTGGAAGCAGCTTCGGGAGGCTGTTCCTGAGGGCCACTGGCAGCGTCGATACCAGCAGGGTGGGGGGCTGACCCTCAGGCATCACATATGACACCCACGTAAGCCCAGACACAGGCAGACCGCCACGGCTTTGGTGACAGCATCATGCAAGCTGCAGCTGGCAGCCGGGCCAAGAGCTTTCAGCAAAGATATTTATCTTCCTGGCAGACAAATAAGTTTTATGTTTTGGGTTTTTTTTTTTAAGGAGAAAAAATCCCACCCAGCCTCACCAAAAATAAACATCTCTGTTATGCAACTTCCTGGAGGCTAGACTTGGGGGGGGGGGCAGCCCCTGCCCCCTCTGCCCTGGCACTGCTCCCCAGGCCCCATCCCATGACCCCGTAGACCCTTACCGTATCCTCTGGCCTTCAGCCTGGGATCGGGACCACCCCATACAACAGCAGGGGCTGGGCCATGCAGGGGAAGCTCCATGTTATAAAAAGCAAGTGTTGGTAGGGACCAAACTCCTCATGTTAAGTCAGGGGAAACTGAGGCCAGAGAGAGCGGGAAATGTGCTCTCATTAGCGACAGGGTGCAGCCTCTCAGCCCTTGGTTGGTCCTTTACTCCTACCCATGGTCTCGCGGCCTTTCCTGGGGAGAGAGGTAGGACCAGAAGGAATCCAGGGGCCTCACATAACCAAGAGGCTTGGTCTGCGCATCCTGGGGTCAGAAGGACCAGCCCCAGAGGAGGAGAGAGTGCGGATGTGGCCTTTGGGAGAAGCTCCCCAGCGTGGGCTGGTTCCAGGCTCAGCTCGGGGGGAGGCGGCAGAATGTCCAGTCTTCCAAGAAGAGGAGTAAGAATCCAGTTTCCCCCCCTCCAGCCACCCACTGAGAGGGAGCGAGTGGGTCAGGAGTGGGGAGACAGCATGGCGTGTGCAAAGACCACCAGACCGAGAGATGGGAGATCTGTTCGCAGTCCCGGCTCTCCCAAAGTCTGCCTGAGACTTCAGAGGATGCCTTTTATGTCCCAGAGCCTCATCTGCACACGGGAGCAGGCACGCCCTGTCTGGTGTCACAGCTTTGGCCCGGTGGAGTAAGTCGCCCTCCCGTCTTAGGGACAAGTGGGACCTTCCCCTTGGGATCTGGAGTGGGGAGAAGAGGGGAGAGGATGGGGCCATGTCTGTCCAGGCAAATGTCAGCTCACTGGAAAGGCTTAGAGATGAAGGAATTCTGGCAAAACTGAGGTTTCTCTGGTCCTTGAAGAGGGAAGGAATCTTCCGAATCTCCATCTTGATTAGTGATCATCTTGCTTTAAATTCTGAGGTTGGGCCCCTCATTTAGACAACAAAGGAAAATCCCCCAAGGTTCTGACCCAACTGGTCAGAACGACAAGCCAAGGAAGTCCCTCCCAGGTGCTCAGGGCATCAGTTTCCACCTCCTGCCACCCCACAGCATCTCTACAAAGTGCTATCATCCAGGCTTTGGTGACAGAGAGCTCACTGCCCCCAGGACAGCTGGACCATCTGTCCTTAGGTCCAGCCCGTCTCCTGTAGGGTCTGGCTCATTGGTCCTGGTTCAAAACGTCCCGGGGCCTTTCCCAAGCCAGCCCTGCGGACATCTGGAGACGGCTGCCACGCCTCTCGTCTTCCATCCTCCTGAGTAAATAATTACAGTTCCCACCGCTCTTCTGCAGGAGGTCCTGAGTTTAACAGGCCTGCCTGAGGCAGGTGGGTGCCAGGGATGGGACGGGTGATGGTGTTGGGCTCTGGGCAAAGCCAGCAGATCGCTCTGCAACTAGATGATCCAGAGGGGCCGGGTGGAGACCTGGTACCGTGGCCCGAGGCCTGGCGCTGGTCAGGGTCCAGCTCGCTCTGTGACTCCCTCCTCAAGACGGCCACTGAAAACGGGGACCGAGACTCAGGCTGAATTACTCCTGAACAAAGGAAAGCACTGACCTCCTTGGTCTCCCTCACCCCCACCTCTGTCCACCTGCCTGGAATGTCCCTTTTTTTCCAGCTGACCTCCAAGGTCCAATCAAGCACCAGCTCCTCCAGGAAGCCCTCTCAGACTGGGGCAGTCATACAGACCCCACCATCCAATTACTGACTGTGTTTTCGGACTAGTATATAATCAAACCCCAAACGTCCAGCTCCTCCTAGAGAATCAGTTCCCTGTGGGCTGGGACCTCATGCCATTCGTCCTTTCTCAGCCCAGGATGGGACAGGCAGCAGACAGGAGGAAGAGGTTACTGAAGAATCAACGAACCATTTCTAACAAACAGACATTACTGAGCTCTCACTCTGTCCAGCTACCTCTGTGCACCTACTGCGTGCCAGGACCTATAGGGTACGTGCAGAGACGTTTGTTGAATGAACACATCCCCGTAAACACTGAGGAGAAAGGCGGCGATGATACGTGAGAAAAATGCCCGTAGTGACGAACGCCTCCAGCAGAGGCTGAAACAGAAGGAGGAGGTGAGATCACCGAGGGAGAGAGGAAAAGACGGAGGACGGAAGGAGGGAGGGAAGCAGGAAGGAGAGGAGAAAGACCAGGCAGACATGAAGGATGTCTCCACGCAGCAAGCAAGAGGGTCAGGGAGGCAGGAGGAGAAGCACAGAGATGGGCTTCACGGAGCGCGGCTCCGGAACTGAAATGCCCAGGAAACCCAGTCCAGCATCTGCCAGGAACCAGCTCTGCATCCATCGCGCTGCTATACTGGGACAGAGAAAGGCCACTGGGATCTCCCAGCGTGCCCCGCTGCTGGGCCCACCTTCTTGAGGCCCAATAGCATCCGGCACTGGCATGAAGCTGGGCAGCGACAGAGCCCCTTTGGGTCCAGGCCACCTGCCTCCCTGGCTGGCTTCCCCCCATCCTCCCTGGGGCAACCCCCTGTGGACTCTGGCCTGGTGCTATGCTGACACTCCGCCCAGAGTGGGAAGGGATCCCTGGGCGGGCTTTGTCCCAGGCTGTGTGGCCCAAGACAACGTAATCGCAAGCTGCAGCTTCCCCGAGAATGTCTTGATCTGGAAATAGGTCCCAGGCTACCCAGAGGAGTCAAGTAACGTGCACAGAACCCCGTGAGTCATCCTTGCCTGCCCCGAGGCAGGGACGCTGGCCCTTCAGACAACCCCAGGCAAAGACTCCCATCGACCACTTCTGATGAAGTGGGAAGCATTCTTCGGTTCGAGGTTATATTCTCCATCAGGAGCCGCAGAAGGCCCTCGGGCCTCTGCCTGAACTCCCCTGGGGAGGAGGCCTGGCCTCTCCCGGGAGCCACCTGGTCTGCTGCCGGACAGCCCTGGCTGTTGGATTTCAAGAAATCCAACGAGAAACGGGAAACCTTTCTTCATTCCCTTAACCTCTAGCCACTCGTCC